GGGGGGGGGCCCTTGGGAGAGCCCCGCCTCTCCTGACAGCGGCTGACTGCGGTTATCCCTGGCTTGGGAACGCGGTGACCGCTCCCGCGGTAAGCCAAGGCTGCAAAGTTTTCATAAGTCTGTTAAAGAAAATTTCTGTAATCAGGGTTTTGGGGTTTTTTTTAAGCGGTTGAGCCAGTCAAAGAACAGGTTGGCGACCGGGGCTGAGAGCCTAGAGCACGTCTCTCGCCAAGCCCGTGCGGGGGGGCAGGAGGAGCCGTAGCGGCCCCTCGGGCCCTTATCCTGCCGCCTCATTGTCGGGGAGAAATGACATGTGCAAATGGCATGTGCCACCAAAAAAAAAAGGGCGCATCCGACGGCGGGGGTAGCGTTTCCTCTCAGGCCTGCTGATGCGCTCGTGAGGACATGACGGATTGAACGTCAACCCGTAAATTTGGGGGAGGAGGTATCAAGTACGATGTTCAAGCTGATGCGGGTGCGGCCATCGGGCAAGCGTGGCGGGGCTTTTGTGGCGATCTGTCGGTAAAAAGGAAAGAAGGAAGCGATACTGCGGTGGGCCCGCCACCGGCCTTGCAGAAACAGCTCGGTGCCTGTCCTGGTCACCTTCTCACGTGAGCTTTCTTTACTTCTTGCCTGTAGGACTGCCAGATGCTTCTGAACCAGCTGAAAGAGATCACAGGAATTCAAGACGCAGCTTTCCTTCGCGCCGCTCTGAAGGTTTGTGCCTGTTGTCATTGTTCTGCGGAAAGGAGACCCCTGAGTTTGTCCCGCAAGCCGGGCGAGTCCGGGCTCTCTCAAAACGCCGTGCACGGGTCGGATGTTGGCTGGCGTGTCTGCGGGCTGGTACCGAGCTGGTCCTCAAAAACAGCCGGCGGCACGGCCTGCGAAAGCGATGCGGCGTGTGCTGTGCGGGGCAATCTGGCTCACGTAGGGGGTGGAGGGTAAAGCCCCCGCAGATTTTCTGCCCCTCGCTCTCACTTCGCCCGGGTGTAGCCCGAGGCGAACGGGCACGCGAGGCCAGCGTCTGCGGTGTCAGCGGGGCGCGTGCGGTTTGGGGGATCACGTGTGTTCATCCGCAACAAAAACCCCAGGCTAACTTGAGAACAGTTCGTTTTTCTAGGAGTAGCCCTTAGAATCCGCGCTGCAGATCTGCTGAAATGCTGTAAACATCTCCTGGAAGCTTGCTCCCACGGGGCTGTTATCCGTGCCTTAGGGTAAACACAGACTTGGTGGGTCGGAGTAGGTTTTTCTCCGTGTAAACTGCTTCAGGAGTTCTGGGCAGCTGCAGTAACGTCGGTGGCCGTACGGCTGGTGGTTGTCTTGTCCATCACAGAACAGTCATCTTTGCTCCGACGTGAAGGGGGGCGGGAGTTTCAGGCACTCGGAGAGGCAACGTTTGCCAGGAAAGATTCCTCCTCGTCGCGTGTGTTTCGGTATTTATAAGTCGTAGCATTAAGCTGGCCGCAGCCGCATCCATCTGGGATCGTCAGGCGCCGTCCGTCCTCTCGCGGTGTAGCGGCAGGATGCGGGCTGTGCTGAAAACAGGCAAAGAGGCTTGTTTAGGGAAATTCTTAAACATTTCGTCAAGACGTCCAGAAAATGTTAGGATAAATTTAAAGGAGTTAGCCCGTAGCGATGGTCTGAAGAAAGCCCTAGCTCAGTGAGAGACCTATGGCTCGAAATCCACGGAGGCTTTGATTCCTGCGAGTCTCTCCCGGTGGCAAAGTACCCCGTCACGCTTCAGGCCTCCTGCGGCTACTCGAATCTCTTGTGAGGGAAATGAAATTAGTTAATGGAGTCTGTGTTGTCCTAGTAATAAAGCCAGAGTGCTTTTCGACAGAGAAATTCAAGCCTGCCTTTAGTTTTTTACTACTGCCCGTCACCAACAGATAGCTCTCTGCCGTGGCCAGGGAAAGCAAGGCTGGTGGCAGCGTGCCCATCTCTCCCACAGATGCATTGAATGTCAGCAAATGTAGATGAAGTAACCCTGGTGCTGTGGATTCTTTGCCCCTGTTGTTCTGCTAGGCTGCTAATGGAGACCTAATAGAAGCAGTCACCTTCCTGACGGAGGAGCACGCTCAGGAGCCGGCTCAGGACGTGGCTGCTGCGGAGCCGTCCGCTTGGGAAGGCAGCGCCGTGGGCAAACAGCTCCCACAAAGTAAGCGGTTTGTCTCTGCTCACCCTTGCGGTTCCGCGTTGTTTTGACTCACGTATCGGTCCTCCCCGCTTCTGCCAGCAAATCCCTCCGGCTCCTGTCCTGGCGCCGATCCGATTCGGCCGGTGCTCGCCCCTTGCCGCGAACAGTTGGTCTCGGCTAGCACAGAAAACTCAGAAAGCTCCTGAAGCAGAGCGAGCAGCATAGGGCGCTGAGTCCCCGTCAAGGACCATGCGTTTCTTTCCAACAGCATCTGTTGGCAGAGCAGGCACATTGAGCGTTCAGGACCATGCGTTCGTGACAACTTAAAACCTTGCTTGGGCTAGCAAGTTGGCTACCTGAAAAGCATTTTGGTGAATGTTGGTGTTGTTGGCGAAAGCGGGCCGTCGGTTTGGCTGTAAAAAGCGGTGCTGTAGTCTGAGGTAGCTGAGAGTAGTTTCCTGAAACCTTTCTGCTGATGACACGTCTGTTAACTGGAGCTCTCCTCAGTGCTGTTATCACCAGGCAGGTTCCACAGTGCCAAAAACCTGTGCCGGGAGCTTTGAAGCAACCCCTGGAGCAGCGCCGCTGCCCTTGGTTCCGCCGCATGAGGCTTCCGCCTCTTCCAGAACCGCTCGCCTTCCTTTGCCCTCCTCCCCTACGTAGCTGGCACGTGCAGTGACTCAGAGCTGAGCATCCCAACACGGGTGAAGGGAGGGGGTTCCGTGTGGTTGTGCTGATTTTATTGAAATCCTTTATTTCTCGGAACAGCGTCAGTGGTCGGCACTGATGTCAAGGCTCAGCACGTACAAGCAGCAGCCGATGTTCCTGTTGCATTGTCCTAAGAGATTTGAAATGTTCCCTCCAGCTCTGAATGGGGCTGTAAGGAAATCTGGCCGGTACAGAGCTGCACGGCCTGTCCTGCTCTCCTCCTCCAGCCCGCTCAGCGCCTTCATAGGCTTCCTAGCGTGGTCCAGACCGCAAGGATTTGTATGTAGAACTCGAGCGGGAAAATTACGCTCTGTCAATTGAAAAATCACATTTGTGAGGCGTAACGTTTTCTAGGAGTTCCTCCTAAAGCAAACCTTTGCCTGCTCCCGGTGGAAAACTGATCCGAATGCTGCCTCTGCTTCCAGATGCTGCCGCCGCCCTTACCCCGAACAACAAGGACGACGTCCACGCGGTCGATGCCTTCAGACCGCTGGAATCGCCAAAAGCTCAGGCTGCCGACAGAGATGCTGCCGAAAGGTCAGTGGGTCCGTGAATTGGTTTCAGTTTTCCTGGGTGGATTCTTAAGCTGGTGGCTGCAGACCAAACATAAATCGCCTACCAAATGCACACCTACTGCTTTTAGAAGGTGCTTGGGTCGTTACTGCCTTCGGGGTAGTTGCCCTTTGCTTCTGGGGCAGCACTGCAAAGTGAGGGCTGAAGCAGACAAAGCCGCTGTAGCCGTGGCTTATTCGCCCCCGCTGCCGTGCCGTACCGAAGGGTGCTGTGCTGGCGTTACGGCTCCTAGCGAGGAAGCGCCTTGGAATTTATTCTCCTCGCGCCGCTTGCTGCGGAGGTGTCTCCTGCTTACCGCGGGTTGGGTTTGCCTCCAGTCGTGACTAAGGGCACCGATTTTGCGTGCAGCTACTTCCTGAAGACAAACGTGCGTATCTTGCTTCCTTCTTCCATCGTTCCAAATCGTCCTGCAGCTTTCCGTCCACCTCGCTTGAGAGCCGAAGCCTTTCTGGAGTCAGAAAAGGCATCTGCCGCCTGTTGCGCTGGGTGTCACCCAGCAGCGCCCGGCTCTAGCGTCCCGCGTGACGAGGGGGGCGTTCGATTCCCCTAGTTCTCGAGAATCCTTGCGAGGTGGCGTTTTACAGCACGGCGTGCGTCTTTTGTGACAGACCACAGGAGGCTCACACTGCTGAAAACAAAAATCGCTCCAAAAGGAAACGCTGTGAAGTCTGGGGAGAGAACCTCAAGCAGAACGACTGGAGAAGAGTGGGCGACTGGCCCGTTGGGATGAAAAATATTGGAAATACGTGTTGGTTTAGCGCCGTCATACAGGTAACCTGATAGAAACGTTCTGCTGGGGTCACTGCGGTCCTGGGGTCAAAGCGTCTACCAGTTGGCATCAAAAATGCACTCGTGTGCAGGCGAGTGAACGTGACCGTGCTCAAGTGAGGCTCCTGTTTTCATTGGACGCGGTTGTGGTTTATTCTGGGCGTGCACAGC